TTACCATGTACGCATATGGCTATACCGAACACCAACTTGCTTCTTGATATAGACAGCATCAATAGTGCAGAAAACGATAAAAGTCCGCTCAAACTGCCCAAAACCCTCATCCCCAATTGTCTTACAAGCGGAGTTGCAACTGGACCTATAAGAGATGGAAAAGGAGCCAGTCAATCTATGAAAAGAATTAATATAAGGACACAGTTATACGTTGTAATTGGTGTTGTTGTTGGATGTAATAATTAGGCCTAAACCAACATTTAAAAGAAAATAAATATTTCGCTGAATAAAACTGGCTCTCTCAATCAGTCTACAGAGTCAACAAGTAAAAAGTGCTTACCACTACCGCATACCAGTCCTATTGATATTCCACCAAAGAAAGACACGAATCCTTCCTTACAGTTTAAGTCATTAGCCATCACTTGAGTAAAAATTCCAACCATTATAAAGCTTACCCCAACAGCAATACAATTTACGATACCATTCACTATGCAGAGGATCTTGGTACAAGTACCATATTTGTCATTTGGAATCATAGTTGCAACTGTCCACGATCATGGACGAAGTGATTTAGTTCTTGGGTATAACAATGGTATAAGCTGCACTATTGATCAACGGAGAAACACGGACAATTGGACGAATAATTTTTTTTATAAGATGTATGCTGACCTCATCCTATCGTCCGCTTAATAACAATTGCAATAATTCAATATATATTGTATTGGTTCCCTTGTTGTAAATAACAAAAATATGTCGCTCTCATATAGCGCTTTATGCACAATGATCAAACACAATGGAACACACACTCAGCTCCCTGGGGAGAATTCCATAATGCAATGAAAAGCAATGAGAACCTCGTCCATACATGTGCGTCCGTGCGTCGATCTGTGACGCTGACGCAATCGAATTGGTCGAAAGTGTATAAAGAAGCAAACTTAATGTTATGAGTTTTTGAATTCATGTATTATTGGTCATGTAATTGTGCCCAATCCAGTGGCACCGACAGGATTCCCCGACGAAGGAGCCAAGGTCCTTGACGGGCAGATTCCATCGACAAGAGAAAAGTGGACGCGGACGGAAGTCGCTCAAAATCTTTCGAAAGTGGTCCGGGGGGGGGGGGTGGCGAATTCCCCAAAAGTTTGACAATTTAGGGGTTTCACAGACTTACTTAATCGATTTTAGAGCCTACTATTATGTATTATGTAAAAAATAGATATATTTGTTTTCGCCCCGACGAATTGTGGTTTTTATTTCTCCCAGACGGGAGAGGGTTGTAGTCCACTAGGCCCCACTCCCCTCCCGTAGCTCCGCCACTGGCCCTATTGCTTGAAAACATTGTTGGATAATATAAGTAATGCTTGAGAACCTTATTACCCGTCTCCATACTAACCTCACTAACTCTAGTTAATGTACCAAAAATGCAACGAAATCGGTTTAGATTAGAGGAAAATAAACAGTTCCACCTGAATTAAGTATTTTGGGGTCTATTAAAATGTCAAAAATACATAGGCCTCTACACTTTTTTTTTTAGATCCGACGAATTGTGGTTTTTCTCCCCGACTGGGGGGGGGGGGGGTGGGCTCTCCCCGACGGGTCAATGTTTCTCCCCCCTCCCCTCCACTTAGCTGGTGACACCCCTGGTTCATTTTTGTAATTCCGTTTCATTTGCGTTATTCTATTTCATTTGGGTAATTCGTCTGACCGACAATAAGTGTGTTCTTTGGGAAGATGTACAGTACATGGTCATGCACTCAGACCTTATAATCCAGTACGAAATGTGCAAAATGAAAGTCTGTATTTTCTTGCTATACTTATTCGTAAAAATTGGATATTTTGAAGAAAATCATTTTATATCTGGTCACTCTTGGAGAAAATGTTTCATTAAATTCATATTCACCAACCCTGCATCTGCCTATTTTTTTAAATTAATAATTAAAATTATTGTTTGCACTTTGCTCCATTTCAAATGCTAGGTTTTATGGGCCTAATTAAATATTAATTGCATAAATCAAATATATGCTAAAAATATAGCTAACATATTTAAAATGGCCACCATTTTGGATTTGAATTTTGCAATTTGAAGTGAAATATTATGTCATATTTATTGACACTTACAAAAAAGAATATTTAATGCATTAGAATCTTTTAATGTCTTGAACATACAATAATTGGTAATAAAATGTTTAAAAATTTTCCCCTTGTTACTGTATATTCAGTATTTCTATTCTACAACATATCCAATTTTTATAAAATATTGCCAAAAAAATGTAACCAACGAAAATTTCCTGGACTATTAGGCTGGTGGATGTTGTAGAGTAATTATGATATTTTATATTGATTTACATTATTAAAACAAGAAACATAAAAAGCTGTGGATGAACTGTGGAAAAACTGTTGTATGCCCATATATGGTCATGATGTGTCTATATATGGTCATGATGTGCCCATATATGGTCATGATGTGTCTATATATGGTCATATAATTATATTGTATTGGTTCCCTTGTTGTAAATAACAAAAATATGTCGCTCTCATATATCGCAATGATCAAACACATGTGTGACGGAGACCACAAAATGGCTGTAAACTCGCATCACCAGGTTTCGAGAAAAAGGGCCAAATAGACAGTATAACATGTAATTTGATCAAAATGTGATTATGTCATAAATATAAAGTATTACCTTTAATCTTACTATTTTTGAAGTTTGGGTTCAATATTTCAACTATAAACCCTAAAATTTAGTAATTTAGTAAACCCTAAAATTTAGTAACGAGAAACGTATTTAAATTGACCAACTTTCAAACCGCCATACTTCGATTCCGAACAACTTATTAACCTGCACAAAATTCAAGCCTCAACTAGATAAATGAAAACTATCGGATAATAATAAGTTTATGAGTACTGTACTCATATGCTATGAAATATATCTTCAAAAGTAATTTTCTAGAGCATAGCACCATGATACGGACTATATTTTTAGTACTAAATGAAGAAAAATAATTTTTATTTTATTTTATTTTTAACTTCGTTATTTTTTGCTTTTTTTGTGCCTTTTTATTCTGTTTTTAATTATTTTATAGTCAATTGGATTTTAATTTAAATTTTTACTTATATAATATATTTATATGTAATAATTTCTTTTCCTTGTTAGGCCTACTTATTATTTTATTTTCTTTATTTTTTTTCTTTATTTTTTTTATTCTTTTTTTATTTTATTTTATTTTTATTTATTTTATTTTAATTTCTTTGTTTTTCTATTTATATTTCCTTTGTTACTTGTGTTATGTATTGAGGGTCGCTAATGATCAGCTTCGGCTGGATGGACCACCCTCGTAAAATATTGATGAAATAAATAAATAAACAAATAAAATACGCCGTGGCTAGAGATACGGTACCGTAAAAGGGTACGGTAAATGATATTACGTCATGATTAGCCAATAGAAACGCCGATGCATGCGTGTAATTCAGAAGTAAGAAGAAGTAATTCAAAAGATACGGTACAAAGCGGTTCATGTCTTGCTTTAAAAAAATTATCTTGCAGATAGGCAATTTATGATGTATGTCAAAATATTATAATATTAT